CAGGACCCAAGCAGAGGGCGTCGTTTGGGAGCTTGGCTGTGGTTACAGCTCTGCCCCGGCACGGGTCCCTGTTCCTCTCTGATTTTGCTGCCTTGGCGTTGGACCCAGGAGTCTTGTATTGTTTCTTTGCAGCATTGTTCATCTCCCTAGTGCTTTCTGCAAGCTCCTGCGCCAACCTGTTTGGCCAGGTTGATAATTTTCTCCCTGTAGACCTGAATAGGCTCAGCTTGCTGCTGCCAGGCAGCTGGAAATAACTTCTCTCGGTTGGCCCTTCTGTTCCAGAAATATGGTGTTCCTCCGGGGTCTGCTGCTGCTCTGCCTGTCCACTCTGCACAGTCACCTAAGGGTAAGTTGCTTCACCCCGGCGATGGTGTGGACCTGCACGGTGTGAGCACAGCTGCCTCCTCAGCCAGCAAAGGGCAAGGGGAGTGAGGTGGCTCTCCGGCACCAGACCACGGGGCAAATACCGCCCGGTGCTTCTGCATGAGAAGCCCTGGAAGACAGATTGGTGGAGGACACTGCTTCTCTGCTATGGGGTTAGCCTGTGCCCTAGTGCAGTGAGGTTTCTAATCTTTTTTCCAGCTAATATAGCTGTGGACATTCTCATTATTCAAGTGGATTTCTGTAGAAAATCTTTGGAAACTTGGCTTCAACTATATTTAGTGACCATGACCTTCAGGAGTTAACAGGAGGTTGTTTAATAACAGCTTTTTTTCTCCCAGTTTAAATCTGGATCCCGGTCAGATCTGAGATTGCAAAATCGCACTGCGCATTCTCTAGAGAATACATTATTTTCTACCCTTCTGACCTGGTGCCTTTCTAAACAAATCCAGCATCTGCAGTGTCTCCCAGCTCCTGCTGACTTCCACCTCTTCACAGTGGACCCCACCGCCTCTGCATCCTAAAGTCCTGCCCACACCACAGCCACGCGAGGACTGCTACAGCCAGGCTGGTGCCAGTCTCTGACCTGGCCCCATGGGAATGTGTGAGGGGTGGGGACAGAGAAGACTGACTCTGGAAATCCACAGGAAATTATCTGGGATATGACTTTCTTTCTTTGTTGTTTGTTTTGTTTTTTTTTTCCCCTACAGTTTTTCTCTGCACATGCCATTGAGCAAAAGCGTCTCTTCTTAGACAAAGATGGGCAGCTGAAGGTAAGCAATGACTGGTTCCACCCAAGTGGACTGAAGTTACGCTCTGGTATTTGCAATGGTTTTCTAGTTTGTCCTGAGACAAGATGAGTCCAGGCAGTGCAATCTAGCAGCGCCAGTGCAATGAGAAAGTCCATCTTTGTGCAGGCTTCCCTCCCCGCCTCGCCCACTGCTGCTGCCAGCGCTGTGCTCCTTTATGTCGGAAGCTCCAGCCCAAATAACTGGGCAGCATATGGAGTAAACATCAGTAGCTGGTGTGTACAGGGACTGGCAGGGGGATTATTTCACTTCTGATTGATAAGGGAAGATGAGGAAACCAACTAGCTGTGAGGGTGACAGGGAGAAAGGCCCATAGCTGACGCTGCCCATCAAGCCTGGCTCTAACAGCGCAGTGCTCCCGCAGTAGAGGAACATCATCTGGATGCCAGTGGGAAGAGAGAGATCTGAGGAAAAAAGAATATCTTTAAGACCATGCAAATACGAAGACAGTAGCAGCAGTGCTGTAGGCTAAAGCTTAGAAAACTGGAAAATGAGAAATTTGGAGAGAAAAGGGATGGAATAGAACAGACAAGTCAAGAAGAGACAGATGCCTGGAGGAGGATTTGAGCCAAAATGGATCAAGGCTGTGACAGCAGCACAGGGTGCTGACCGATGCATGAGGCAGATCGGCAGTCCTAAAAATACGTGACAGGAGGTGGTGAAATCAAGGTTGAGGACGATGGATCTATAAACGGTGAAGGCACAGGACGTGCTGAGCAGGTGGTGGTTCTTGCCCTCAAAGCATGCCTGTTGGGCTTGTTTGCCTGGGGCAACCACTGCAAGACCCTCACTCAGTCCATTTCCCAGGGTACAAGACCTCCTGTTTTCCATGCTCATTGAGGTGCTTTTAACCTCAAGGTTCAAAGGCAAACTAAAGCCAATACACCACCAGAGTAGAGAAGCTGGAGAGTTTTCTCAGCCCATTTAGGTGTGCAGTAAAGCCCACAAGTGACGGTATTGCCGTGCTCCTGCTTTCCCAACGTATCCTTCTTGTTGCTCCCCAGGACGTGAAAAGTGCTGGAGCTGCACAGTCCGCTCTGCTGGGAGCCATCCCAACCCTGCCAAATGCAGAGCTGGCAGACTTTACCTACGACAACTTCCAGGAGATTGATGGACCCATGTTACCTTTCACCACCACCCCACCAGGCAGGAGGAATGGCTGGAACCCAGAAGATGAAGCCGTAGCTGGGGCTGTGGGCTGTCATGAACAGCAACCATCTGGGGAAATTGCCTCTTCTGAAGAGGAAGGAGAGGCTGAAGAGGAAAGCTGTGAGGTGACTTGGAAGAAGAGCCAGAGGCTAGCAGATGGCTTGATGAGATTCAGCATCGGTCTCCTGAAAGAGGTCCAGCTGGAGTCCAACGGTACCAATGTGATCCTGTCACCCCTGAGCATCGCCCTCGCCTTGTCTCACCTGGCACTGGGTAACTTCTTAGTTACAAAAGCACCGTTTCCTGCTCTTCCCTGTACCCCCTCCTGGAGACACCAGGAACCAATGTGCAAAATGCAAAGATTAAATACGGCACCTTCCACTTCATCTTACTCCCGCAGCTTTAATTAGGTACAATTACAATTGAAGCTACCCTCCATGGCCCTGCCGAGGCTCCTACTCTCAGCTTTTTCCAGTCTCTTTTGTAAGGCACGGTCTGTTTCTAACAGGAGGCAACTAAAGTAACATCCCTGTTTCCCACTGCATGGGCATGACCTTACAGGAATTTGACTTTGCTTTTTAGGAGCAGCAAATCAGACAGAGAAGCATTTGCTGGAGGCAATGCATCTGGAGTCGGTGCCCTGTCTCCACCACATGCTGGGCACTGTTCACAGAAGGCTCACAGAATCCACCCTCAACCTTGCGTCGCGTCTGTACCTGCAGGAAGGTGAGAGCTGGCACAGGGAGGTCTGTACTGGTGCAAGACAAAACTCTCAGTGACAGAGAGTGACGGAAGCATGCTGCCATACTGGGAGATGTCTCTTGTTTCCCTAAGCACTCCTCCTGGGGACTGTTATGCCACTGGCTGAGCCACTGAGCAAATTTTTTTCAGTATCTGATGACTTCATGTAGAATTCTTCCCCTCTGCCAGGATTTGAGGTGAAAGAGAAGTTCCTGGAGGATTCAGAGAAATTCTACGGAGCAAAGCCCATGACCCTTTCTGGGATCAGTGAGGATGATCTTGTAGCCATAAACCAGTGGGTGAAGGAAGCAACTAATGGGCAAATACCCATGTTCCTACGGCAGCTCCCTGAAAACACAGTGATGCTCTTGCTCAATGCAATCTATTTCCATGGTGAGCTCCACATCCCTTACTTTTCAAGAGGAATAGCTAGAAATCGACTAGTTTTCTGCAAGTATTGTAGATGAATGGCATCTCCTTTCGTTGCTTCCTGCTAGTCAATCTGCTTGTTCTTTTCTTGTACATCTGCTGTTCCTCTTGCTTAGATTTCTTTACAGTAATGATTCCCAACTGCTTCACATGTGCTAAAAATGTTACTTGACAGCAGAGCCAGAATACAGCAGGTGGACCCTGCAGTATTTTTGCCTTGCAGTTCAGGATCCCAGACAGTGGCACATGACTGCTCATCTTGACCAGGTCACACGCAACTCACTACGTGCCAACCACAGAGCTCAGAGGCAGCTTCTGGGGGTTTCTTTCTGACCACAGCACAGTGCTCAGGCACGTCTTCCTCTTTTAACTCCTGGAGGGTTGTGCATGGAAGCGCAGACCAAACACTTACTTCTGGGGTAAATCTACAAATGCTTTAGCTTGGTTTTGGAGCACTGTTTCACCCTACGCAGCACAAAGGCAACACCTGTCATTTTTCAAAGCGCAAACATCCATTGCTTTGTCTTCACAGCCTTCAGTAATCTCCCACACTGAGGCATGAGGATTAATCCTCGTTCTTTTTGTTATTCCATAGTTCCTCTCTGGAAGATAAGAGCTTCCTGCTGTTAGGGCCTTTCCAGCCTTGGTACTGACTTCTCTCTGCTGTATTTTTACTTGCCTGGTCACTATCTGCCTTGTCAAAGAACTCATGGTAGGAGGAGTCTCAGCTTGGCAGTTTCTGTTTTCCTACCCAAATTTAACTTTGTTGAAGTCTATACTTTTATTTTGATAGGATTTTGGAGGAATAAGTTTGATGCTAGCTTCACTGGGCCAGATGTATTCCACCTTGACAATGAGTTTGTGGTCCCGGTTGAGATGATGAAAGCCCAGAAGTACTCCCTGAGCTGGTTTACACTGGAGTCCCAGGACATTCAGGTAGGGCTCTATTAGGAGCACTATAAGCTTTGTCTGGAATTCCCTCTTGCTATGGTATTTCACTAAGTGCAAATATTCTCTACAAATAACAAATGTCTTTTAACAGGCATAGCATACAAGAATTCAATAAGCATCCTTTGTCCTTGCTTCTAGCAAGAACGTTGAATCTTCACTCAATCTCTAGGAAAAACCACAAAGAGATATTCCCACTAAGTGGGAATTAATGGAGTTTTAAAGCCCTGAGTTAAAGATAAATGAGGAAATATGGAAAGGAATTCCCTCAGACAATGTACTGTTGGAGCCCTTCAGAATACAGCTACTGCCAGAGTGGGTACAATGTTTGTGCATGTGGGCTTCCACTGTGCTATATGTTCAATCTTTACCAGTCAGCAGCTAAATACTAAAATCTAATGCTGTTATTCCAACAAACTTTCTCCTCTGAAGAAATCAGATACCTCCTTCCCACCAGGCTGTTTTCATCTGAGAGCTAGACTGGCTCTGCAGACCAATTAGAAAAAGACTAAATTAAAGGCATCACTTTCTAGACTTTCTTTCCTCCTCCATAAATTCTTCTGGTTGTTTTATTTCCAGGTGGCCAAGTTTCCTTTTAAGAGCAACATGAGTTTTGTGGTCATTGTACCAAACCAGTATACTTGGAATACCTCTCATGTGCTGGAGAACTTCCCTTATAAACAACTTTGCAGGCTTTTCCCCAAAGAGGTACCCACCGCAGTGAAGATCCCAAAAATAAAACTGGACTACCAGCTGGAACTCAACAATGTTCTCAGTCAAATGGGTAAGGCCTCTAAGAGGAGTTGCACAGAATAAGTGTAGCTGATCAGTCTACATGGCATCTGTTCGCTGACACTAAAAACTGCCATCCTTATTTCTAAAGCTGTGCCTCACAGCTTGCTCCACAGAACATCCAAACTCTTTCGTCTCTTATTCCTCTCCTCCTTACTCTTTGCTTGCCTGGCACCAAATGTTTTGCTCCAACAAGATGATAGTATAGAGAAGACAGCATTCACAGTTCCTCACAATCTTTACAAGTTCTTCCTGCTCCCCTATTTGTAGCCAAGACCAACTTCCTCCCGTGCGTCAACCTTTGCCTCTTCCTTTGTCATTTAACATAGTGTCCAGGACATACAAATTGCCAACAGGGAGAATGCAGACCACAGAAGCTGGAACTGAGAGCTTGCTGAAATAAAACCACCACGCACTGCATTTCCAGATGAGAATAAATTAAGAGTTCACTTTGTTTTGCAGAATTGCTTAAAAAAATAATCTCTGTAGAACTGTTTCCAGCCTGGCAATAAAGAGTCCTCAGACTTGCTGCTCCTTTTTAAGGAAGGCTTTGAGTTCTTACACTACTGTTCTAGAAAAGGTGGACAAAGCTGTTGCAAACTATTCTGGTTTTGGCACACTCAGCTCTTCATACAGAGAGGGACTGGGGAAACTGGCTGGACTGCAGCTTTTGTTTCTGTTGCCTGCCAGTTCTCCAGTCCTCCATGGTGGACAACACATGTAGCCACAGATTAGAGAATTGCTTTATTTGGACAGGTCTGAGAAAAATCAGAGCTGGTGGCACCAACTGGGAAAGGTTAACTTGGTCTCATTTCTCTGTAGGCCTCCAGGAGCTGTTCACAAGCCCAAATCTGCGGAAGATCACAGATGATCCTCTCTTCGTATCCAGTATACAGCATCAGTCTACCCTGGAGCTTAAAGAAGATGGGGTGGAAGCATCTGCTGCTACCAGCGTTGCAATTTCACGCTCGGTCTCTGCCTTCAGCCTTGACCGTCCCTTTGTCTTCATTATCTTTGAAGATGAAACAGGCATCCCGCTTTTTATAGGCAGTGTCCAGAACCCTAACCCCAATGCTGCTCCCCAGATAAAAGAGCCACAGGACTCACGTGAAGCAACAGATGTCAATGAGTACCCCATGCCCAAATAAGAGAGGAGCAGAGCCTAAGCGTTCTGGGACTGCTACCTGACCCTTTGGACCAGCTAAGAGAGACGTCCTGTCCTTGGAGACCCCCCTCTGAGGCCACAGGAGGCAATCCCTTGCTGTTTTCCTTTACAGATCCCTAGAGAAAAGTCCTGGGATAGCCCATTCCAGCCTTGATGAGCTTCTCCAGGCTGGGATTCCCCTCTGTTGAACCTGCAAAGCTTGCTCTGCCTGGATTTCCCTTCCAGGGCTCTCGGTCCTGGAAGGGAGACTTCCTTGTCCCCAGACTCTTATTAGAGTCTTTATTAAGCATTAGAGTCCCTCATAGCCTGGAATCATCATTAGTATCTGGCAGCTTGGACAACAGCCAGAGATATTAATATGGCTCTTCCTTCCGCAGTTCCTGTGAACATGACTCCCTCAAAGTGTTCCTCTGAAAGCCGTCTGTACCCACCTAGAAAACGACCTCTAAATCAACTGGACGAGCAACCAGTTGTCTTCTCTAGGATGCATCACAGCCATTTCCAGGCACAGGCTCTTTTCAAAGATTCCCTTTTCCCACTCCTTGGCTATTGTGATCTGATGTGAGAGGGTCTGCAGTTGGAAACCCCTTTGGATCCTTATCTCCAGCCCTTTTCCTGAAAAACTCTAGGTTCTTGGGTAATGCTAGATTTTTCAAGATGTATTTTATAAGGCCTTTTTTAGTAATTTTTATGTTAGCAGAATAATAAAGAGTGAAGCAGAATGTATTTGCTTAAGGTGTTGCATTGAAAGACCCAACAGAGAAAGGAAAAAGGCACGCAACTTGAATAATTGCAAAGACTGGGAGGAAAAAAGTCTGGGTGTGACAGATGGAAAGATAGGAGGGGCTCCTGCAAAGGATCTACTTTTTGCTACACCTCATCACAGAGGACAGCAGGGGCTGTGAAGTGAAATGGCTAATCTGTAAAGACTGTCCAAGGACCAAGCCCAACAAGCTTTGGGCATTTCACCTGTGGAGTGTTCAGGGAACACTCACTGGGTCAGAGTTGGCTTCATGAAATGGGCAGAATTCCTTGAATTAGGGCATGAAGTCAGTGGCAGAGCGACAGGAGGGTATTTTGCCTGTGAGCAGCAATGAAGTGATAAGCAGGGATGTGACAGTCCCTAACCTTTTTCTTGGGCAAAACCTGACCATTGCTGGTATCTGCTAGGAGGTTCAAAGCTACTGATCTGGCATCTGCTATCTGCAATTTGTTCTTCTGCTGGGATACTCCTGGCTCCCCTGCACAATGCTATGAATGGTTGGGACATCTTCCAGAGGATGGAGGGGCAGATTTTGATGCCTGTAGCTAAATGTCCCTGCTTTTGCCCTGTTTTGGCAAAAGGCAATGTCCCATTACAGCTTCACTTTTTACACAGCTCCCTGGGTTCTTGTTCTGAGGCAGCAGTGCACGTCTGAAATAAGCTACCATGAAAGAATCTTGGGAACCCTCCACCCAACCAAGACATCCTACCACTTAAGAATATTAGTCTAACTCACCATAGCCTGCCATGCTCCAGCTACTTCTGGACAAAACAACAGCTGTCCATAGTAGATTCTGGTTCCAAACTCCCTCAGCTTCTGGGTAAAATGGATGGTGCTCTGTTTTTGCGAAACAGCAGTTAGAGAGCACAAGGGCCATCCTTCTGGCAGTGTTTTCCTCACTCGGGAAGTCTGCCTTCCCTCAAAGGAAGGAGCAGAATGCTTCTGGGAGCCTCCGTCCATGAATAGTCTGCACCATCTGCTGGAATAAGAGAAGGACTGACTCACTAACCATGAATTTTGGGGATGCAGGAGACTTTGGGGAATAAAAAGTCCTGGCTCAAACCTGCAATTACACATTTCTTGCAGTCTAAAAGGGGAAGAACGGCTAAAGATAATGTCTACCCCTCCAACCAATGCAATGACACATACCCTTCAAAAAGAGCGTGTAATTATGGGGCCTGGTAATTTTAACAAGTAACCCACAAGAATCCAGTCCTACTATGAGGGCATAGCTCTAGCCCACAGGGAACATTTTAGCTTATTTATTTACACAGATTGATTCTTAACAGTCAGAAATACCATCCCAAGCTTTAGGTAAGTCTTGCTTTGGCTACTGCAACCTCAGTGCTAACTTCCCTGAATTCCACCCTGTCGTACTGGAACCTGTGCAAAATTTGAAGCGCAAGTCTTCCTTTTCATGCCTCTTCCCTCCAGCTCCCCCTCCACTATAAAGTTTTCTTCCTCTCATTCTCAGTTTCCTGAACAGCTTGGTTCTTATTTCCTATTTTCCATTTTTCTGCCATCCCTCCTCCTCCAGGCTATTCTTGTCAAACTATTAATTTCATCTTATTTGACGGTACAGCAGCCCTCCATGACTGTGGTTTGCTCAGCAAATTATCGGTTACACCAACCTTAAGACTCTTTTTCACTCCAGTGACTCTCCAGAAGAGGTAGTTTGTAAAATGCAAAGTAATATTAATATCTCTGCTCAGGAATTTCCACTTTGCATTGCTCAGCTTTCATTTTGACTGAGCTCCACTCTGAAAAGACATGACTAGCACACGGCGTCTGCTCTATAGCTTATCTGCACCACTGACAGAGAATATCAAATAAGTCTTAATATCTTTAATACTAGATGTATTTTTTCCTTACTAGAGCAAATTCATATGAACATGATCAGAATGTCCACAGCAGAGGTGAATACTGTTCAGACAGCGTATGGCCTACTATCTTGGACCCAAACCAGAACAACAATAAAATGTTTGTAATTGATTTAACAAAACCGATTTAAGCCCTCACACCTAGTTAGAGGAGTATAATGCACCGTTTCAGGGACACCCTTCACCCACAGGAGTAAATCTTGCTTTCGTCTATAATAACATTCTACAATAACAACAGCCACTCTGATTTAAATGGTTTAAAACCAAACCTGTAATTAACCAGACAGGCTTTCATTTGAAGATAGAGACGAGATATAGAAAATTCCCTACTGGTCCTTACCTAAAGGGCATTTTAGTACCACAAATCAGGTATCAAAAAGAGGTGAAAAACACCAGAAGGTATCTCCACAGCCAACACCCCCATTCTTGGGCCGGCGATGGAAGACTAACCAGTACAAACATCTTCCTGCAGAGGATTTCTCACAGAGCAAGCCGAGAAGCAGCTGAGTGCAGAGCTGTAACTCTTCTAGTTAGAAAGGGTCACCTTTGAAGCGCCAACTAATCACAGGGCACACTACTTGATTTGCTTCTCTGGCTTGCAAAACCAGCAGCTAATGCTTCTCCAAAGCCATCCTTTCCTCTTAGCTGAGGGACTGTGCGAGCCCCGTGCCAGCACGCACGAGTAACTCCTCATTGCCCGTTAGCGGCAAGACTGGCAGCCCGAAACCGCGATGTCCCAATGCAAGCCTAGGCTGGGGGCACTGACATTACCGGCTACGATTTACTTTCAGCATTTTCAAGGAGACAATCAGCTGTCCTGGATCAGGCTACGTGTCCAGTTAGACCAGTGTCCTCGCTCTCCCAGTAGCCAGGAACAAATGACTGAGGGAAAAAAAAGCCAAGACTGACTAGGGACAAGGAAAACCACTGTTCTCTGGTTGCACTGCCCAGCTGCTGAGTCTGATGCTACATCCAACCATTGCTGCCTTCAATGGACTTATCTTCCACAAATTCGGAGTTTTTTTCCCCGAAAATCCATTTAGCTTTCATCTTCTGCAATACCTAATTACAACGAGTTTTACAATTAAATACTTATGAAAGATATACTCTCTTGTTTTAAATGGGCACTGATGGGTGCACCCCTAGAGTCTTCTACTGCGAAAAATAGCAAAACCACTCTGCCCCTTTCCCTTCTCCAGATCATTTGTTGTTCTGTAAGCTCCTACAACATCCTGTTAATTCATCTGGTTTTTTTCACCAAGAGTCCTTGACTTTTTAGTCTCTTTTTGGCCAAAAAAACTTTAAGCTGGTTATGTTAATGGCTTCTCATTAACCAACACCTGCCACCGGGCAGAACCACTTCTGAACATGTTCCCCTTAACCGCTTTAAACAGCAACAGAATTCTGCTTCCACTTTGCAAGTCTCTTCACTAAACCTTGGACATAAATCCACAAATCCATTAAACTGCTGCATTAACCATACCTCTAAGACAGAAGAAATCCCCGTATGGCAAACTGCGGGGATGAAAGCCTCGCTGAGCCCGGGCAGGGAGCCCTCACCCCAGGGAGCACCCCGCGTCGGAAGGCAGGGTGAAAAATAACCAGGGCGATTCAGCGGGAGGGTGGCAGCGGCGGAGAAAAAAAAAAATAAAAAGAAAAAAAAGGCAGCAGAGCGCTTTAAGAGAACCCTGGGAAGCTGTAACCTGAAGCCTGCCGAAGGCTGGGCCGGGGGAAGCAGCAAAAAGCAGATGTGGCCGCAGCGAGCCCGCAGGGTCCCCGACGGAAGGCGCGGCC